TTTGTTTATTTTTCGAAGGTGAAATTCAGGTCGGGATGGTAACTGTTGAGTTTTTCCTGAATGTTCTTGGTTTAATTTTCGGGGCAGATACAAAAATGTCGTCAATATATCGACGCCAAAAAATTATATATATACGTGACAATATTACCACAGAATAGGTTTATCGATATTGAAAATTAAAAACGAGTGTGTGTTTCCAAACAAAAAGTCTATTTAACTAGAGCGTTTCCCCCTGTTGTGATATTGTCAAAGAAACCTAAGGTTACCCATTAAAGAAGCTAGAATAGCTGATGGACGCCATGTTCCGACATAGCGGACAAATGGAGTGGCAGATAAAGGTCCGGAGATAGCCCCGCCTGGCGGCCATTAGACAAGCTTAGCAACTCTGGGGATTAAAGTCCCAGGACTCTACCTTCCAACGTCACAGTTGGCGGGTAAATATTGGCCATATCGATTTGACAGCATTCCTTGATCCACTTCCTGGGAGCCTGTCATTCCACTGTGTATCCATAATTCTGCTCGGCGTGAACAATCGGTGTCATAACGAAATGTTTTGCAGACAGTTCGACCTTACTTTCTAATAAGTGTCTATTGTAGAGTTCGGCAAACTGCGGCTCGCGAGCCACATGCGGCTCTTTGGATGTGAAGCTCTTTATATAGTTCCATATGCAAATATTATTTATGCGAGTACTATTTATTGTTGGCAAGAAAAAAATTGTGGCTCTTTAAAAACTTTGAAAATTTGTAAATTGTAATTTTTGACTCCTCCGACTCAAGAGGACATCACTCTATCGGTGTAATGGAAGCGTCGCCACATGTCTGTTCTCGCGTCTTTATATATAAAGGAAAGGTTTTTGATGTGGTTGTGTGTCGAAGAATACACACATTAGCATGGAGCAAGGATCTAAAAGGTGTAGACGTGGGATAGAGAATTCCGAGGCAAGAAAGGAGAAGCTCAGCTGGCGGCTAGGAGTAAAATCGTCCTCCCTCTTATTGACGGCGATGGTGGCATGACAATAGTTTTGTTTGCTATCGGCGTGTTATCGGAGATTTTCTGATGCCTGAAATTTCTGAACAACGAATATGAATTCGTTTCTGCGCAAAATAAGATTCCAGTTACAGAAACATATTAACTTTTCGAAAGACATTCGGTGAAATATGCCTAAAGAAAACCGCAGTTTATGAATGGTATAGCTGCCTTAAAAGTGGGCACGAAGCTCAATCCAAGGTGACCCAAAAGTCGAAAGACCTATATTGAAGAAGACAGAGAAAATATCAACCAAATTGCAGAAAATTTGCCGAAAATGGAAAAATTGGCATATAGGAACTTTCGGGAATAACGGGTCTTTCTCGATGGTTAATTCATTCCATTATATATTCACGATAATCTGAAAATGTTAAAGAAATTCGGAAAGTTCTGGGTTCCCAACCAACGTCAGATCCCATACGGCTATTGCAGTTTTGAATTTCTCGGCCAAGAACAAAGTTCTTACAGGTACCATGCTCACCTGATCCTGCCCAAATAACTTTTCCAACCCAATAAAATATCTCCTAAAGGGCAGAGATTCGAGAATTAGAAAAATTACCGAAGTTTCTCGGAGGCCTGAAAAAAGACGACTAAAAAGATGCTACAAAAAATTGGAAGGCCGAGGTGTTTAGATGCTGAAGGAAATTATTTCGAAGATTATTAAATAAAATTCTCTTTAGATCTTTTATTAAACGTATATAAGCTTGATACCCTAATATGATTGAGTGGAGATTAGAAAGAAGAGAGATTAAACGTATATGGTTTTCAGAAAATGCGGGGAATTTAATTAACGTGCATTTTCTAATATTAATATAGCAGAACAATCTCTTTTTTTTTTATTAATTTCTAATCATTTCAAAATACCATTCAACTTTGAAATTTTTCTAATTAATTATTTAAAACACTATATTACAAAAACGTAAATATTAAATACACAAGTGTATTTTTAAAAAGAAATTCTCCATCTAAAATCACAATTTATTTTATCATTTTACAATATATAAAATTCATTATTTTTAAAATATTAAATTCAAATACTCTATCTAATAACTAATTTCATATTCAGAAAATATTCAAATCGAAAGCAATATTAATTTAGTATTTTTAAAGCATATCTAATTTATTAAGTCATATCATATGTATTTTATTTTAATCACAATTTCTAAATATGTTTAATCAAGAGAATCCCATTTGTAAAATGTAATTTATGAAGTCAATAAAAACCAACAACACAAACAGCTTAGAGAGAGACGGGATCAACCAATGAGAACCCCGCAGTTACAAGAATGGACTTTCAGATGGATGTCCCGAATTTTCCAAAAGCTGATGTCGGGATATTTTCACTAATCGAGGGTTATGGCAGATATCAGTTGATGATGCATAGATTTCGCGTCTATTTTAAAGGGAGAGGTTTCTTTCGTTAAGTAGAACTTCCATCAATAGAAAAGGTGGCGGTGGTTTGGTGCCGTATCTTATGCAGACAAGATGTGACTGACCATCCCACATGGCCGCTCACGGCATCCATACATTAGTGGAACTGCTCCAAATAATATCCTCTTCAGCGATAAGAAAAAACACGGGGCAGCCGATAGAATATCGCCTAGCTTCACCTCGAGGTCTTCTCCCCAACGTGTCTTATCGGCCCCTCTTGGTAATTTTGGCTCGGAGACTTGAGGACGCAGTAGCCAGAGAGTCGACGTTTCTAGAAAGAAAACAGTCGTCGAAGTCCTTCAAAGTGAATAGGTGTTTTCTCATCTTGTTTTATCGTTTAACTGTGAAATATTATTTCTATCTTCGTATATCTATATATGTCGAGATATTCACCATGTAGTACACCAGCTCTCCAAATGCTGTACATTGGTAAAACACACAGTCCCAATGTCCACGAAATCATACAATGACATTTACATGTTCTTACTGTCTTCAAAGTTTATGGCCATAGAATACGCTTATATATAAGAACCAGTATTCTCTCTACAGTGTCGGATATATAAACAGAATCGTCCAATACAATAGAAGAGCTCTAAGAAGAGGTATGGTAGAGATTAAACAGGGGAAACCGCTGGGAGAGTTAACCACTGATGAACCAAGCCTTCCCAAATTTTTCTCATCGCAGTAAGGAGAGTAGGAAATTTGTTTTATTTTAAAAAGAAAAATTCTTCCTTAATGCTTCTATTTCGTATATAATGACCTGGTTGCAGCTCTATCGAGGTTATAGCATCAAACGGTACACAAACACATACCCTTCTTTGAAAGAGAATTAAATTTCAGTAAGAGAACTCTAAATATTCGCTTTCATTATTGTTAAATTGGATAAAAAGTGGGTACACAAGAGAAGGAGAGAGATACAAGGTAATTGGGACCTTTGGCAATCTGTAGAGATACTTTATTAAATGTTGCGGCAGATATCCATGTTCTGCATTAGGATTTGCAAAGCTCAGCGAGCTTCAATCAATAAATATCAAAAGATAAGCTTTAACACGCGCCACCTATACGAGGTGTGTTCAAAAAGTATCGCGACTTTTGTGTTTTTTCAAAAATTATTTATTTATTCATGAATACCTATTTTGTCCCCTTCAAAGTAATCCCCATGAGATATTATACACTTGTGCCAACGGTTTTTCCAATCTTCGAAGAACTTCAAAAAATCATTTTTTTAAAAATCTTTTCAGCTCCTCCTTCGATGCCGTCTTTATCTCGTCAAGCGTAGCGTAACGTCGTTTTTTTCATGGGCCTCTTCAGTTTAGGGAACAAGAAAAAGTCACAGGGGGCCAGATCTGGGGAATACGGTGGCTGCGGCATCATTAGTGTGTTGGTTTTGGCCAAAAAGTCGCGCACAAGCAACGATGTGTGAGCAGGGGCGTTATCGTGGTGCAAAAGCCAATTTTTGTTCTTCCACAAATCCGGGCGTTTCTGGCGGATTGCTTCGCGCAAATTGTGCATAACTTGCAGGTAATATTCCTTATTGACCGTTCTACCCTGTGGCAAGAACTCATGATGCACCACGCCCCTGCAATCGAAGAAAACCTTCAGCAAAACTTTCACATTCGACCGAACTTGGCGCGCTTTTTTCGGTCTTGGTTCGTGCGGCAGCTTCCATTGAGATGATTGAGCTTTGGTTTCCACGTCATAACCATAAACCCACGCTTCGTCACCAGTTATGACCCTCTGGGGCAAATTTGGGTCGTCGCGGACAGAGTCCAACATCTCATTAGCAATGTTCATGCGATGCTGTTTTTGGTCGCAATTGAGCAATTTTGGTACGAATTTCGCGGCGACCCGTTTCATGCCCAAATCATTGATAAAATCGAATGGCACGAGCCAATCGATATGTTTAGGTCCTCAGCAACCTCTCTAACGGTGATTCGACGATTGGCCAATATCATTTTCTCCACGTCATTAATTTTTTCGTCTGTTGTTGAAGTGCTCGGGCGTCCGGCACGCTCTTCGTCGTTCACATCTTCTCGGCCTTCTGAGAACATTTTGTACCACCGATAAACGTTGCTTCGGTCCAAGGTAGCTTCTCCGTATGCCACAGTCAACATTCGGAATGCATCCGCGCACTTAATTTCGTTTTTCACACAAAATTTGATACAGGTTCTTTGATCCATTTTTTTTAATAGGTAAAAATCGAAGACGATCCAAAACACCTGCAAGCAAAGCAGCTGTCAACAATTAAGTGAACATTCAAAATGGCCGAGATTGTCGGCATAAGTGAGAGACATGAGTACCAACATAAAGCCACAAAAAGATCGAAATTCGAATATACGTAACCCGCGAAAATTCAAAAGTCGCGATACTCTTTGAACACACCTCGTATATAATGTAACACTTTCCATTTCCACTACTGTACTTCTAAATGTAGTTACCATGATGGTAGTGAGGCGTATACTCGCCTATTATATAATTTTAACCCGGCATTGTTTCATGTCCCCCAGTACCTTATACTCAGAAAAATTTTGCTTCTTAAAGAAACTAAAACCCGGGATTGAACCAGGGACCTTTAGATCTTCAGTGTCTAACGCTCTCCCAACTGACCCATTGGAGGGTCTTTTACAGAAGCTTGTAATTCCAATTAATAAAAATGCAATTCATGCAGTTAAAGGTTGGCTTGCGGGACCTGTCGGAGTAAATACCAGCTAAGCCTTTAGATTTATTATCCCAGAATATTGGCCAAATAACCTGTCTTGATTAATCAAGAAAATCCAACCACGTACATCTTTCAGGCTGTTGGTTTTCCTCAGTATGGTTGCAAGCTGTACCACAATGAGCAAAAAGGCTGGCCTTAGAAGCTTCCTGAAAATTCTAGAAATGGGTTTTCTCGATTTATACACCGATCCCAATACAATTTCACTTTTGTACTTATTTTTATAGTTTCCAGTTTTAAACTGAAGTTGAAAGAGCCACTGATACTGTAACCATTCACCACGTCTGACAATCTCTTAAGTGGAAGATGAAAACATCAAGTCTTCACTTGCAGTCTTCTATACACTGAACGTCATATTCATATATGAAATATGCTACAACATCAGCTTTAGAAAATGTGACAAAAGCCAACCAGTATATCTTGGTTTCGGGCTTAGACCCTTTTAGTTCAGTGGTGGCTTCGATTTTCATAATATCTTAGGAAAGAGAATTAATGAAATCTTTAGAAAATCTGCCAAAAAAGATGTTTCAACTGAAGTACCGATCTTGGGCCAGAATACATTATAATTATTCTATTTACTTCCTATATATTCACTTTCTTATTATTGAACTGAAAAGTGGACCTTATTTACCTCTACAGCGCCGTCTAGTGGGGGTGTATACTGCCGAGGGAGGTGACGTGAGGCAATAACGAAGGTATATTTACACCCGGGTGGAAAGAAACCTCGCCGCCAATTTGTCAGGTGTCCAGAAGATTGAGTGGCCGGCGATAGATGTGGCTTCATTCTGCCTGACATGGCGAAATTGATAGAATATGGAAGCCTCTCTATTAATGTTCCCAGTTGGATATGGAATTAAATTTTTATCGGCGAGCAGTAATTCCTTTCTATTTCATCAATATTCTTGGACCTGTCAAAATAGTATGTTTTTCATACACTATCCCTGTTGAATTTGATGTACCCAACATGGGGAATATTGGAAATGCTAAGGTAAGTTGCTGAAAGAACGTATGGAATGGTGGAAAAGCGATTTTTTGTCTAATTTCGATATTTCCATTCCCCGTGATATTTTCAATCAAGATTAACTAAGTATTCACATAAACATATTCACATTTCCTAGCATTTAAACATTAATGGTTTGGTGGAAAGAGACAACGCGAGTTTTAACTGTAGACCATGATGTGTAGTTTCATTCATAATTATGCATGCTGTACTAAAGGTCGATGTTTAATTCAAGCCCTATGTTTTGAACGTACCATTTAGTGTATATAAACAGGATAGGCTATTTAATTCTAGTATGGGGAGGCCCCGAAGCCCGAACACCACGAAGCCGATATAAATTCAGCTTTGTAAGTTTGATAAAATGAATTATTAATATACATTCAAGGACAAAACTTAAGGAAGTTGTACCTTTTAGTATATATATCGGGATTCAAACAATAGCTCTGAAATATATTTGATACACAGTAACCTCTTTATTGAAGATACACGAGATAACCAAGTGTGAATAAAATTGCCTCTGTCTCCTTCAAAAAACATACAACAGGCGATATCAAAGACTTTCCGCTTCCTTTTGCCCAAGAGTGTGTTGCATCCGGCCAAAAGAGATTATAAATGGGGCTAATATGGGCATGTACTGTAACCCCGCTCACATGAACACTTCATTGAATTAACGAACACCTTTCTGAGCGACTGCTTTGTTTAATCAAGGTGTCAATCTGACATAGCCCATCCTCCAATGAGAGATTTCCTTCATGAAATATATATACAGACTTTTAGGCGGTCTCTTATGGGAGCTCCAGTCCCAAATCTAAAAAGATATGGGTATATGTAAAATATATTGGACTCCTTGTATTCTAACTTGGCATTAGCTATGTAGTTGGTTGAGAATCAAATATATAAAATACCAAGCGATTGTAGTGACAGGGAAAGGTAGCAGAAAAGGCCTATTCTACTTATAGCTTGTCAGACATTGTCTTGCTCTCTCTCTCACAGGAGGTAATCGACTCTACACCGAGTACAGTTCAGTGGGACCATCATTCCCGGCCACACCAAATGTAAACCGAGAAAATCGACTTCACAGGAACAGTTCGACCAAACGAAGCCTTCGTGTCACCTGCGGATGTGAGCAAAGACAGCTTTTCTCTCTACATCATCGGGGAACCGCCGGACCTGCAGTCTTCGCGGTGGACCTCGAGGACCAAACCATCTCCTCAGCGACGATGCAGGCGATCTACGTTCTCTTCCTAGATCTCTAAATGCGTGGTGTCGCTGGAAACCCGCTGGTGATTCTCTATCAAACTCTGCAGCGTTGGCATAGCATATATATAATTTAATCATTAATCATCATTATAAATTACTGATTATCAATCCATAAATATTACGTACTGTTCACTTATGCATGTATTGACAAGACGTCAAAAAAGTTACGTTAATTGTCAATCGTATCTCTCTCCACAATAATGAGGTTATCTCGCTTGCTCTGACACTCCGGCTTTACTCCTCGACTGTACAACTCAATATTACATCATCATCGAGACAAGATTACTTAATTCTACATCACATCGTCAGCCTCTGGGAACCATTTAATCACATATACCTTCTCTTTTCCTTAGAGTCGAAGCTTTTCACTCAACATTTAATGTCTCGGTGTTATTGTCCATCAAGTCGATTTTTGATGACTATATGGACGAATATTCTCTAATTTTACCCATTAGTGACCATCACTCGCAGCTCATCTAGTGACTTTCTGAGTAGCTTTCTCTATGTCCAAAAATTTCAAAAACTTCATTTATTTTTTATTTATTCTATTCTGAGAACTCGGCTCTCACATTTATAAGTGACCACAGGGAATATCAATGCCTCTACAATGTCTCTGAATGAACAAACTTTAAACATGGTATATTTTCTTGAAAGATATAAACGGCTGATCATTGAAACCTTGAAATAAAAATTCCAAATCTTAATGGTCTTTTGATACGATACAAAAATCTAAATTAGGATAGAGTTATGAAATTACTTTCAATAGAGATTTGTAAAAACGTTTTAGAGCGTATACAAGTAAAATAAGTTCTAAAATATATTTATAATAATTTCACAAACGCTGCATTGTGTGCGAGAGTCTCCCATAGAAATGTGAAGAGTGACTTTGAAAACCTCAACTCTGTATTTAGAGAAGAATAACTCGAGCAGAAAATACGGAACACGTGACCCCACACAATCAGCCGGGATCTCCCCTCGTTATCTGAGCCACAATGGCTTACGTCATCATTGCTACATCATTGTCACAGAGGTAACTTCCAATACCAAACATCGGCTGGCTTTCTAAATACAGTACCTAGCTGATAAGTGAGCCATACGGAAATGAACTTTGTCAAATTTCCATAATCAGAGGTTTGCATATGATATCTAACAACTTCCTATTTACATATAGGTCGGATATTATTACATATATATTCGGGAGAAGCGACTCTTTTGACCTCGATGTATATCTTCTCCTTCCCCCCTTAAATTATATATATATTAAATATAATATTTTGAGTGGAAAATATATTAATATATTCACGGGCAAAAAAAAAGAGGATTATCTCTCTATTCAAAATTCACCAAAATAGAGCATATTTTATATATTATACGTGTTGTAGTCTAACTTGTAACATTTATGTATTTAGTTGAGTATCTAATAGAATTCCAAACGCTTGTGGCGACAGAGCGAGAAATAGGTTAGATATTCTCTTCAGGATCTACAGGTTTACATCTGTTTTGTCATTTCCTGACTGGACTTCAAGGACATATGGATGGGGACCATCGTCCAAATTTAGCCGAAAAAAAGGTCGACAGTGGACTAGGTGTAGTTGGGCCTCTTAGCTGACGTCAGCAGGACCAAATCGAATCGGTTGGTCCTCTCTATCTCCCTCTTCACACAATCCTGTTGTTCTTTCTTTGAAATTGATCTTGGTGAATGGATATCGGATCTACGACTGCTGAATCTCTCAATTCATCACGAATTCAACGATTTTGATGTTCTTCGTTTGAAATTGATTTTGGTATGTCCTTGAATCTACGACTGCTTAATGCAGCATCTTTCAACTAATCACAAATTCCTTACCATAGCATTACTTACAAAATATGTGGGAGATTCCATAGAAAAGAGTATCTACCTCAGGAATATATTGGAAAACTTGTCATATTTATAACCAGACTCCTACAACAATGCTAGTAGAATACTTATCTGTACTCAAAGTTTATACTATACCAGAGTTATGAAACATCAACTCCTCTTTACCATTTATACCGTACATCCACAGTACTCTGGGAAGTGTTGATTTTACTTTCCTACTTCTCCTTTTAGAGAATCAGAATGAAGTCTTCATTGTGTAGATTCCTGAATCTATAGAAACCCATGAAATTTATAGCACCCATTTTCTGTAATAAAAATATTTACAATATATTTCAACATAAACTATACCTGTATGTATGTCAATGCTCTCCAAAACTGCTGGACCTCCCCTAGACTTGACCTTAGCTCTTCGATGCATATTGAGGGGAATCTTACATTATTTGAAGAGAGAGATACAAGCTCCTTATTAAGGTTGTGACAAGTAAATCATAAAATCAATTTAGTAAATATACACTTATGCTCAAAACTTAAGGAAGTTTCATATTTTGTTGTCGCTGGTCGTCTATTATTATTATTTTGTAAGAGACAGAGGCAATTTTTATGACACTTGGTTATCTCGCGTGTCTTTAATAAGGGTTGCTGTTTCTAAGAAGAGATAACGTTTACGGAGAGAGAGATAGTTTCTTTATTGAAAATGTTTTAGATTGGCGAGCTTACAGACTACAATGTCCTTCAACGGGCTGAATACGAATACGACTTGTACTCGTATTTAGTCTTTTTAAG